CCAAACCAAAACCAACCCCACTGCCCCAAGATGTGACTTAAGTACAGAACTAAGGATTTATCTTGTAGATGTAAAGACCAACCAACCAACTGAACCTCCTGATCTAAACACCAAAGTGTTTTGCTGGATCAAGTGACAGTGCAAGTCATCCTCTTCCCTGATAAAACTCGAAGTTTTGAATGCTCAGTAGCTTACTACTGATAATGCTTAGCAAAATGTGAGAAAAGAAAGTGTCATAGAGGAATTTGACATTTTTGACTCATCTGATAAAAGTGAATGCCTTGGATAGTCAGAGAGTTCTTCCTTCAACCTTTTCTTAAAGAAACAGCTCATACATATTGAAAAATTATATGCCTGTGTCCAACCTGTGAATAATTAATTGCTACATCCTTCACAGTAGAGGTGTTTTTTGGCTCTATTTTTTCCCTTTGCATATATATACATGATATCTCATTATTAAGTGTGTTGGGAGCACTTATCTGCATGGAGGAGCAGTAGTGAATTTTTCTAAGTTGTAATGATAAGCTAAGAGTAAGCACTGCAAGGTAAAATCTATTTAAAATGTGGCAATTTGGGAAAATATATCCCTCAAGCATAGCAAACGCACCATCAAAGTGAGTTAGCTACCAATTAACTTCCACATTTTGCACAAAGGACATTAAATTCTAGAGTAAAAATAAAACCAAATGATGTATGCCTGATCTCTGAGAAAAATAGATCACACAAAATGAGCTTTAGATGAGTAGGTTTTCACTGTGTTTTCAGTATTTGGCTGTCCTGGAAAATGTTTGTTTTTCTATTTAAAATTTGGGGTTTTTTTCTATGTAAACTCATATCACCAGGCATGTCTAAGAAGAGAAACTACAATTTAAATACAACAAATTAAAATGTGAGATCCTAGGCAGGCTCAGACAATATGACGAAGGACCAAATTTTAACACCTCTGTTCACAATAGGTAAGTAACATTGCTCTATCCATTACAGAGTTCTCGATCCTGTAGCCTAGATGAAATTATATAACACTGTGGAAGCAAATAGAGTTCTAGTCAGTCCTAATGTCACAAAAGGGCATACTCAGAAAAGGTGCACTGATGGGAGCAGGAGTCCAGCCCTATAAATGTTAGTGACTATTTAAGAAGTCAAGGTCAAAGAGGCTTTGGCTGGAGCCAAACCATTCAATGGACCAGCTCGCCATAGATTCAGAGATATGGCTAAGTTCTTCCTGCTGGAATCAATTAGGAAAATACAACATCCTAGCACAGATAAAGAACTTCATTTTCAACTCCCGTGGACCAGACAATGTCATCTGCACATGGCAAAATAAGTGCACTGCCTTGGTTGGACCTAGCCATGGACATTCAGTTTATGCCTGGAAAAGAGCATTTTTTGAATGATGTTTAAAGGTTCAGAATCTGCTCCTGAGAAAGTAAAGTACAGTGCGGACAATATTTCCGTTTTCAGAGAACAGGCATAGTGAGTTCCAGATTATCTGAAAAAAAACAGTATTTGGCTTCAGTAGAGTTTGAAAACACAACAAGGAAATGCTTTGTATATCATGTTTTTAGGATATTTTTTCTAAGTAAGAAAAACATTTGCAAATAATTTGATACAACTGTGAAGAACAGTCAATATTCATCGTAGAATCATAGAGTCACAGAGTAGTTAGGGTTGGAAAGGACCTTAAGATCATCAAGTTCCAAACCCCCTGCCATGGGCAGGGACACCTCACACTAAACCATGTCACCCAAGGCTCTGTCCAACCTGGCCTTGAACACCACTAGGGATGGAGCGTTCACAACTTCCCTGGGCAACCCATTCCAGTGTCTCTCACTACACCCTTACAGTAAAGAACTACTTCCTTATATCCAATCTAAACTTCCTCTGTTTAAATTTTAACCTGTTACCCCTTGTCCTACAACTACAGTCCCTAATGAAGAGTCCCTCCCCAGCGTTCTTATAGGCCCCCTTAAGATACTGGAAGGCTGCTATGAGATCACGCAGCCTTCCCTCCTCCAGGCTGAACAGCTCAAACTTTTTCTGCCCGTCTTCATATGGGAGGTGCTCCAGTCCCCTGATCGTGGCCCTCCTCTGGACTTGTTCCTGTCCTGCCACACTACTGGGTTGACCCACAAGTTTTATATGCAGGAGTCTGGACATTAGCCATACTCCTGGGGCTTTGGCTTCCAGGACTAATGGGTGAAGACTTCTGTAAACAGAATGCCTAACATTCAAGAAACAGCATATAACCTACATGCCAGAACTGAGGGTGAAACCCTACTGACACTAAAATCAGTGAGGAAATTATGGTTGACACCAGGAATGACACAATTTAAATATGTGAGGAATGCAAATTCTGAGATATTCTGTCAAATGAAAATTCCCACCCTCCAGCTCATTTAACCACATGTTCAGAGACAGTACTTAGCACTTTCTTAAGTAATTAGCTGAAGTACTTTGTCATACTCCATTGTTGGGAGTTCTACTCTTCTTTCTGAAGTAATTTTTAAAACAATTAATAAAAACCATAACAATGGCAAAGAATTATTAGAACATATTATGTTTGCTTTGTATTTCACCTCACAGTCACTGGGAACGCATATTTCAGAAAAAGTGTATGGAGCTCCCTAGTGAATACTTTAGCAGTATTATATCCTTGGAGAATGTATGTATCCACACATAAAGCATCTGACTTCTGTCTTACAATTTGCAATGCACTAACTTATGTTAGCTGCTTTTCCGTTTAGCATAATTTTTCTGGGTTTATAAACATCTAAACCTATTGCAATTCTATAGAATTTCTTTGAAAAGCGTTTCTCAAGTCAGTGCATTACTTCTGCAAAATAACTGCTTTATCAATTGTAAATGTTCTTGATTTTACTAGATATTTGTTCCAATTTTCCTCTCTGTGATTATCAGAAGATATTGTAAGGACCCTCCATTAGAGCATCTCTGCATTGTTTTTATAACTTCATCAGGTAAGTTCTCGTATCCTGTTTAGTAAAACCAAACACTTCTATTTTTTTTGCCATCTTCTCGTTTTGAAATTCTTTTTTTCCAGTACAAAAAAAAAGTACTGGAAAAGTAGAAGTACTAAAATAAAATTATATTTAAGTATTTGGAGAGAGGCTTCAAAATACTGCATTTTGACACCTATTCAGTCAGATTCAATACCAAAGAATCAGATTTTATTTTTCCATAGTAATTAGTGCCATGCCCTATGTGAAATATCTGCACAGTAATACATGAATTCAAGCTTGTCAGGATTACATATAACCTGTCTCACATGCCATCACTATTAATACACTACCCTATACACGTGTGTATATATGTATATATATATATACACTCAGTAAAGCGGCAGAAAGTTAGAAGAAAAAGCGTGTTGAAAATATCATAAGTAAAGTCGATTCTGTCCATGCATCTTATTTTTCTGTGATTTATAGGAACCTTGTCAATCTTGTTCCATGGCTGCAGTGCCAGTTGACAGGCAGTCTCTTTCCCGCCTTGGGATGCCCCCACCAGGTGACGCACCATGAAACTCCCACCTGCTTCAGAAGGGATCTAAACAGTCTCTGAGGTTCTTCCAAAGAAATATCTTGAGGCAAAAACCAAGGATTAAATCAATGAAGACAGATTCTTGGAATGTAGCTACATAAATATTAAAAAAGGAACTTAAACATGCATGTAACCCTGAGGTATATACCTAATTTTATTCCTATAGAAAAAAAAAGAGGTTGTTCAGGAGGATATCTGGCTAAGTGCTTCACTTCAAGGCTGTGTTTCAGCTCCATAGAATTCCACAGGGGTGAGATTACTGTAGACTTGCATGTGCTTCTGTTTTGAAAATCTATAGGAAAAAATTTTCAAGACTGCAGCAAGGACCTGCTTGCTGCATCCAATAAGCTTACAAAAATCATCTGTCTTCACTATGTGTTATCTAACAGAAGATTCAGCTGCATTCATTACATTTTTTAAATTCACGTAACACTCATTTTATCTGTTACAGAGATTTTTATTATATGCATCTGTACAATGCATTTGAATGAATTTCAGGATTTAATGGTGCAGCCACTAAAATGTTATTATAATTTTTTTTATATGAATTGAAACAAGGGGGCACAAAATCACAAAATGGAATATAGAAATCTTTAGAATTAGATTTAAGTAATGTTAGGTTTGATGGCTTTGTAACAGTAGCAATGGAAAATTACTGAGGTGCATGATACATAGAGAAAAAAAATAGAGTACAGCTAGAGAACATACTGAGAATTCTCACAAGATAAATCGTTATAGTTGTGACATAGTTTTAAGAAAAACAGTCTAGAAGAACAGGACACAGGGATAAGGAGTATCTGGGAACTGCAGGTGGCCAGGATGGGCTACAGTTAAACTAGCTGATAAATAGGAGGATAGGAGGATTATTATGTCTCTGGTGCTAACGAACCAATTAAACTGGTATGAGCATCTACTGCGCATGCTTCAAAGGCTGCCAGAAGTGATGAAGATTGTTGGAAGAAGTAAACGACCCTCAGAGACCACCACCACAATTCTGTACGCATGCGGGGAACTTTCTGGAAAATGATGTAATCCATACGTAGCCTCATGAATACGTATGTATGCCCAGTGGCTATAAAAGGACGGCTTGTGTGGCAATGGGGAGATAACACGTTAGGAGGAGCTATCCCCTGTGTCTCCCGGCGCCGCAATAAAGAATACCTGCTTGTCAGCTTGAAAACTTTGTTGGCAAGTTTGTTCCTGGAGTTTTCTCCAAATCAATTTGGCGACCCAGACGGGACCCTCTCTGCTTGGCTGCAGGACCCGTTGAGGACAGGGCTCCCTAGGGCCCTTGGGAATTTTTCCCAGAGGGACCCCTCGACTCATTTGGATCACTGCGGGAGCAGACAAGGACCATCTCATAAAAGGTATTCTTTTCTTTTATATAGTTTGTAAGGTGCAGGGGGCATCTCGGTTTGGTAAATTGGTTTGGTAAATTGGTTTGGTAAGCTTATGCATGGTTTGGAAGCCTTCCATAAATCGAGATAGGAAATCTCGCAGTTAAAGGCGTATACCCGGTTTCTAGCGTCCGTTTGGTATACACCCACAAGAAGCAAGGGGTTTCTTGTGGCTTGGGTCCTGCAAGACACAGGGGGTGTCTTGTGGAAATGGTTTTGGATTTTACTGTCATATACCCATAAGAAGCAGGGGGCTTCTTCAGGTTTGGGTCCTGAAAGATGCAGGGGGTGTCTTGTGGAAATGGTTTTGTGTCCAGTGTGCTATCAACAGCCCATAAGGGATTTGATTCAGTGATGCTGTCAGCGTGGTTCCCTGAATAGGTTAGTCGAATCACCCTCCGATACAGTGGGCTGTCCAGTACGTTCCACAGTGGGACTCAGACAGGCTGGTCGGGCACAAGGGTCTCGTCCTTCTTGGGACACTGACAGGCTGGTCAACTATAAAAGGCTCAAGGAAACCCCCCTATTAATGTTACAATATGGTCTGAGCCATTGAGGTGTTAGGATGCATTGCTTTTGATTCTACTGGTATTCCTTTTATTTTGTGGCTTTTTACAGTAATGATTTTGGTCTTGTGATTTTGGTCTTGTGATTTTGGTACTGGTGACAGGATGTTATAACTGTGTTATTAACTCTTGTTTGGTTGGTTGAATTTTAGTCTCTGTCTTTGTCTCAAGTATTGTAACTGTGTGGAGTGTGTCTGTGGGATCCCGTTTGTGTATGTGTGTGTGTGAATGTGAGATTGATAATGGAAAATCAGCAGAGTGAACACATCTTGAAAAAGAGTCTTTTGGGTGCATTTTGGCACACTGGAAAGAACTTGGAGAGTCTCCTGGGGGCTCGGTAAATAAGAAAACATTGGTAAAATATTGTAACCGATGGTGGCCTTTGTGTACTTTGGAAGATCAGGGAAAATGGCCTAAAAATGGAACTCTGAACTATAATACATTGTTACAATTAATGCTGTTTTGAGGGGGCAAGGAAAATGGCATGAAGTAATGTATGCAGATATGTTTTTCACTTTAAGAAATCTCACAGAGTGACAGACTGAATGCAAAATTAATATAGCTCCGTCAGATTCCTTAATTTCAGCTTTGGAAAAGGACAGGGAAAAACTGAAAGTTAAGCTGAAGAGATGTTGTTCAGCCTGTGATATTGGGGAAAGATGTTTAAAGTTAAAAAAACAGTAATCAGGAAGATAGGTTGAAAATCATGTATCACAGGTACCTCCGAGAGAAGCAGCCTCTGTATCCATCCTATTTGATATTGATAAGGAGGAAGAGATTGCTGTCACTGGCAACAAGCAACACATTCACATTTAGAGTTAAGAAGGGGTTAAACCAGAAGCGCTGTTGCAGAGGCAGGCATCTGCAGCTCCTGCAGAGCAGGGTGAGCAGCTGTGAAAAAAAAAAAAAGGGAAAACCAAGGGGGAAACGGGGGCAGCTCGGGCAGCTCCTGTGTTTGAGCGTGGAGGAGTGACGATGGGCAGCGGCTGGGGAACTGGGCTCTTCTGTGGAAACGGATCAGTGTGTGTGCTATGGGGAGTTTGGACATTGGAAGTGAGACTGCCCTGGGGGGGGGGGGGGGGGGGTGGGGGTGGGGCAGTGCCATGGGGTGGCTCCGGTGCCTGAATTGGAACTAGACTGAGAGGGACCTGGGGAATCTACCCTAGCAGATCCACTGGTTAAATTAAAACTACGGACTAGAGGAAATAAAGTGGAATTTTAGTGGATACAGGAGCAACTTATTTGGTGTTAAATCAGAGAGAAATCAGAGAGAAAAGAATTTGTTACAGATGTGGGAGCTACTGGCCACCAAGAAAAAGTGGGGGAAAAAAAAAAAGAAAAAAGAAAGGCATTCTTTCTGAAACCTTTAAAGTACAAACTGGAAAACAAATAGCAATGCATAAATTTTTATGCACGCCAAATTCTCTAAAATCTTCATTAGGGAGAGAAGCAACATTTAAAGAAGGCAAAATGGAATTTAGAGTTAAAAACAATCAATTCATTGCAGTTTTGAGTTTATCTTTAATTCAACAGAAAAGCAAAAAGGAGGACCTCCCTGAAATAGAAGAAATCCTTAATCAGGTATATGTGGGAGTACGGGCATCTGAAGTTCCAGGTAAGGCAAAAAATACTTTGCCTGTTAAAGTGGAAATAAAAAAGGGGGGCCTGCACAATTAGAATAAAACAGTATCCCTTAAAATCAGAAGTTCAAAGGGAATGAAAAAAAATTGATAAATTTTAAAATATAGATTATCA